GAGGAGGACGATGTGGTGGCCTGTGGGGTGGAGGTGCAGGGCTAGAGCCGTGAGGAGGACGATGTGGTGGCCTGTGGGGTGGAGGTGCAGGGCTAGAGCCGTGTGGAGGACGATGTGGTGGCCTGTGGGATGGAGGGGCAGAGCTAGAGCCATGTGGAGGTCGCTGTGTCGGCTTTTGGGACGGAGGAACATGTGAACTGGAGCCGTGTGGAGGTCGTTGTGAGGGCCTGTTACTAGAAGAAGGAGGAGCAGGAGAAGAAGGTCTACTAGGACTGCTAGGTCTGCTAGGTCTGCTAATCGGACTGGGCCCATTTGTAGGTCTGCTAGGCCCGCTAGATGGCGAATCTGGACAGCCAAATTCGGATGGAATAAAACACGATGCAGAAGAAGCTGGTGTTTAAGAATCCATCATCGAAGGATCGATAGAGTATTACAAAAGCTATGATTTTGGGATCAGAAACCGCTAAAGCTGTGCTAGGAGGACGCTGAGAAGCTTGGAGAAATTGAAAGACTATCATCGGGTTTAATAGCTGTCGCGTCAGAGAAAGATTGCGTTTGTTAACTTAATTGACAATGAGCCATACCTGTCCTTTAGGCATCTTGTTTTTTGGGTTGGTTTGACTGACCTGATCGCCGTCCTCCGTTCGGAAGGATCTTCTTCAGCCATTGGGTGACGTCACGGATAATGATTTTCAATAAATCTGCCTTCAGTTTGACGGGTTGGAACAAGTCGAAGCCGATAGACACAACTATTTGTTCGGCGTCCTTGGCGATGCTGTGCACCAGATCGCCAGCCAATACCACAGCGTCTCCGTCGAAAGGCGTGTTGTCCGGACGAACAATGCCGCTTAACCATTTCGTTACTTCATCGACAAGCGTGTTGAACAGCGACGAGCCGAGAGTGAATGGAAACAGCCCTGCTGATCCGAGTTTTCCAATGACATTCTCGATGTCCTGGACAAGCCGTTGTGACAAATCACTCGCGAGGTCGAGGGTGGACGGGTCCTCTGCGGATGATGAAGACGAGCTTGAAGAATCGTCACCACCAAAGTTTGGCAGCGGGAAACCTAGTATCTGTGTGTGGGAGCAAGAATTTATTTTACTATTGAATTCAGAAGGAACGTTGCACCAAAGCAAAGTCAATGATCTTTTCATTTTATTTGCTATCGCCGAAAATTCTCCCCGTATTCTATATTTTCGCTTGTGGGAGATGATGAATCTTTCTAAGATTACCTTTGTACAACCTTTTTTTGCAGTTTATTGTAGATACGAACAAACAACAATGCGAAGTAGATCATAATTTGGAACATCATTCGTAGGCTGTAGATCTTCGCGCAAAATAAAAATTGTACGCATCAATTGCAAGATGTAGAAACTGAATGAAAGTATATTTCTTTCGTTAAAAATGTTAATATGTTGAAGACAATGTATAAATGTTCGATTCTATCAAGCTTCCTGCTCTTTTAGCTTTAACTTACTCAGTTTCGTCGTAAATGCATGATATTCATTCGATTTATTTGCAATCTAGGAAAGTATCGATTGCATTGTAAAAATTGTAGAATAGAAAACACCAATTGATCGAATTTTTCTATGCAGTTTCTCGGTGTCGAACGTGAATGATAATTGAAATAAATATTCGCACGAAAGTATTTGATGAATTCTGAAGAAAAAGGATGTTGATTGATAGTCAGAGAGGACTCACCGACTGCCGAGAGACACGTGAAGGAATATGAAGAGCACACGTGGCGCCAACAAGGGCGAGAACACACAGTACTGTCGCACGCATCTTGTTTGTACGTTCGTCTCTGCTTCTACTCGACTAAACCAACGAATTCGCGGGTATTTATACGGTGATAATGAATGCGCTGATCCATATATTAAAACCGACAATAAGATAAAATATGCAGGAACAGCTGTCTTCGCCAATTACAACAAACAATGTCACAGGCATAACAAATGATTTCGTCGAGTTCCGACTTCCGTAATCTATTCTCACGTTGGGAACGTTCGATTATCAATACACGCGTCCAACTGCCATGCGTTTTACAGTAGTCTTTGCTGTAACACGTAACCCAACGTGTTACACACGTGTCGGGAATAACGAATGCAGCGTGATGCAGGCTGTCATCAATTTTCGTCAGTCATTTTTCGTCTTCCGCAAGTGGAAGAGCGGGGAAAATTTGTCGTAGAAAAATCGAAGAAAAATGATCGATGGTGTACGAAGCTGTTGGCGGCAATTAAAGCGACAATACTTTTAGTTCTCGCTGCAAAGAAGATGCTTGGGGCACAACTTTCGCGGCAATCTAATAGATTCCTCGGAGAAAAGGGAAGCTGCCGCGACACGAATTGGACAGATTCCAAAGGCGAAGTCTTAGGGCAACGGTTCGCGGTTCCTGTCTCGTTCCATTCATTTCGAATCCTAGCTCTCTTTCATCGGACCGGAGATCTGAGGAATAGTTGTGAGTTTGGGGGCCGGTCGTTTGTTCCACTCGAGATTGCGCGAGACAACAGGGGCCCGGCCCGGGGACAACAGGAGCCCGCGGAACGAATCTTTGAACCAGCGAAACGCAGCGGAAAGATTGTGTCCCGGAATTCTTGCCACGAGACGGCCACGCACTTGCACTCGCCTATCCAGAGGAGGGAACTTTGTTCAAATCGCGGATCCGGCGAAAGTTGATCGTTGCGTAACCATCGCGGAATACCCGGCATCGTTTACGAATCGGTGGATCGCTGACAGGAAAACTTTTCGAAGCCCGGATGCCACGTGCTCACTTCCTCGTGGAAATTCCAGGATCCTCCGAAGATTCCGCATCTACATCGCTCTTACTCCGCTTGAGAATTCCTGTACAACTTCCGACAGGAATTTCAATTGGGAGTGATGCTATATTCGCGATATCCCGTGGATTAAACGGCTGAAAAATCTAGCTCGACCGGTGCCTTTCGATGATCAGATTTCAATTAACCGGAGATACTATTTCAAATCGAGCTTGTTAGCAGCGACGAGGCGGGCAGCCTCCTCAAGCTTTCGGCAGACGTTCTGTTTTGTACGAGATCACCGATGTAACTTGATCGCGACGATTCATTTTGAAATAGCACGATGCGCGATCGATCGTTCCATCGAAATTCGAATCGAGACTTATAACGGCTACGAACAATGGAAAAAGTAACTGATTAAATTCTAAGTTGCCGTAGTTGACAGCAAATATGACTCGATCATCTTGATTCGGTGTAAAGGGGTTCAAGCTGAAATTATCGATGGTTCGAGAATTCGTCAAATCTAGGAACTGCGAACTCGGTAATCCCAGGAGGATTACGGATGTTCAAGAAACAAGAGAATTTTCATAGAAAACCGGAATTTCCTGATACACACCATTTGAAACCAGCAGCACCACAAAAATTGACTTCTCGCGGAAATAGTTCCAAGCTAAATTTTCTTTAGGTAAATATTTATTGGTTCGTATCTTAGGAGACCATTTTTTCTATAAATACGTAAAATTCTTGGTGCGTTGGATCGCGGTTCGACGAATTGTTGGACAAGAAGATTCGAAGACTCGTGGAAGAGGCGAAATGGATAAGATAGGCAGAGGAGGTTTTTTCGTGGATTCGTCGGCGCTGTCTATTCGAGTCCTCCCTTGATTCGCATATGGCTGCTGGATGGCCCGCCCCGTCGACGCTTCCATACCAGTGATTGATGCTCGACGTCGTTTCGCAGACGCGACTACATAAATCAAAAGGCATCCTTATACGCGCGAACCCTTTTCTTGTCGCGGTCCCCTTCTTCTCCGTTTCTTTTTTCCCGTCTGCCCCCTTTCCGAGGCGCCTCGATGCGTTATCAAATCCGTCGATGACAGACGAGAACGTATTAAATACCGAACGGGACGGGCATCGATTGTCATCGGGTCGTCGGGACGTCGGGACGTCGGAACGCCCCGCGCCTGGACGGAGACGTCCCTCGAAAAAGGTGGGCGTCGAACGAACACGTGCATCATCCCCGAGGCCTCGCAACGATTGAGATATGTTTTCCCCAGGCTTCTTTCCTCTGCTTCACTATGCCGTTCGTTCTTCTTTTTCCACAGCACACGTACCCCGACCCTAATTATCCTACGGCGCTTGTTCCGTACATATTGTTTGGCACCGTGAAGATGCTCGGGTGCTGCTGACAGAACTGCCGACGGAATTGCGGTTTTTAAGAGGAACACGTGCGAGCGTTACCTTTTCATGTCCTCGCCACAAACGGGGCAATTAGCTACTAAACCCACTCACGATGTTTCAAAAGCTGTATCGTTTCGTGGATCCACGTTGTTGTTGCCTGTACAAATTCCGTATAATGGTTCGACTCTCGCTCATTAGGTACTTCCTGCAGGTAAGTCGAAATCTTATTACTTTAGTAAATCGACTTATAATATACAGTTGGTGTATAAAATGTTCGTACAACTTTTAAAACGGAATAACTATTTTACGATCGGACCAAGCGATCTATGTAAAAAAGTCAAGTTGCTGATAGTAAATTCATTCTTGAAATTACTAAATTATTCAACGTTGTTTATCACTGTAGGACAACTGAAATATTGGACAATTTGTGGTTACTCGAATTTAACATATGTTTAGACAGCAAATATTGTAGTGAAATCTTCGGATCCACTTGCTCCGAATAAATTGTGTAATTTAGAGGTTGAATGTAATAATATAAGCGACGAACACGCAAAATCCATTCATTGCTGAGCACAGAGTGAAGTACCATTGTTCCAGGCTTGTATTCGACGGTTCCAGCTGTATCGATACATCATTCCTGACAAGGAATACCATCTAGAATAGAGAAAGGGGAAAGCTGTAAGAGTTTGCGAGAGACGGATGAATCTACACTTTTGTGCGTTAGCATCCCCTTTGCATGGAGGAGCGGTGAGAAACGATTCAAACAGCTGCGTCACTTATTGTACTACATCCATTAAAATGGCCCACGAGAATCATGCCTCCTTTTGAGAATTAATTTCTTTTCACTACCGAGATACTTTATATCTCTCTCCAACGATGTTATTGTTTCGAATGCTTCTAACTATCTAGTCTGCGAATTTGATACACTTACGATAGAAATAAATAGGCGTTGTCGCATATCTTGTCTTAAGCTGATTTTCTGGATGAAGTGGTAATGCCATTTTGTTTAAACATACTATTCAATTCTAACAATCATATTAGACAAATTAAATTGTATACACTCGATAGCTGTCTCAATTTATCACAGGATCCTCGCACAATTCTCGTTGTTAATTCACACAAATAATTCATACAAACTAATTCAATTCTCCCACATTTTGTAATCTCACGATCATTCGATTACTAAATAATTTCTGCTTGGTCTGGAAACATACCATATTAGTAAAAATAACCGAACAGATTTTAGGGAGTGTTACGTTGTGTTAATTTACGTATACTGTTATGTGACGATGAAATAAGTTGAAGTAAATAGGATAATCAGGTGAATTAACCCAATCATAGAGTGAAAGATCGTTCTGTTGAGATAGGATGTCTTAGATGTCTAGAGTGAGATATCTAGGGCGATATCTTGTGGAATATTTGTCAGCAGAAATGATCATAGAATAGAAAATTGTTTGCTTATATTAGAAAAGTTTCTTATTTGCAGAGTGATTGTAGAGTGCAAAAAGCAATGTTTGCTAATCTAAGATAAGAGGCATCCGCGGTAAATTGTACCCTTCGGAAAGTAAAAGGACCGATGATAAGGCGTTATCTATTTTCGCAAAGGAGTGCTCTTACTGACTTTTTTCGCTGACATTCCAGCTAACTAGCAGAATTATCGCATCGCTGACGCACGTGCGTGATTGGCAAAAATTCATTTCGCGTGGTTTACATGTCGCGGAAATTGCGTGTCTGCCGCACGTAGAACCCGAGACCCTTTGTTTAGATGGCAACGTTTGTCATCGTGTGTCTCGTGCGGGCGAGCTGTCGTCGTCGTCCTCGTTGTCGCCGCGACGCAGACGTAAAACTACAACGGGTAGGCCAACTCCCAAGGTCGGAGATATTGGGCACAGATGCAAAGTGTCGAGATTGCTGACAGGTTTGATAATACTCGGGTTTATCCAACCGGGTACCGGTTGTCTTCTCAGCTGTCTATCAGAGAATTAGGTGGCGAACGACTGACAACTAGCCAAGTTATTGTTTGCAATTTGATTGTGATATTTTCGTCCGAATTTGTTGGTTACGCGAAACGATAGACTGCGTATATACGCCATCAGTTTCAACGACAGACTGACGATCTGTCAACTTTACAGAAGTTTACCGAACTGAGAATGTTCATTGAATTTTCAATTCGTAAAAATCGTTCTAGGATGATCGTTGGTAGGAGGGGTTTTCGAGAAGATCAACTAATTTTGCAATAACTAAATATTCTTGATGACAAGAAAAATATGGAAATGTTACATATCTTTATTAACGTAATTTCCTATGATAACTTAAACAATTAAAGTAAATGTAATCGTTGGTCATGATTAACGCAGTAATTATTAATCATGTAATAATTACTTCATTTGATTACGATTAACTGAACAATTTGGTGTTATGGTGGTTAATAATAATTCTGAATAGTTTTCTGGAAAATCTGGTCTACTATGACCATGGACATTCGAACCATCGGTTCAGGAACGTGCTGTATAATGCAGAATGCTCGGACTATTTTACGATCCATAGAACTATGCTAATACAAAGCAATCGCGAAGCGGGTAGATGCAACTGGCGAGGTCGACGGGACGCGCGACGTCCCGTTCCCGTGTTTGCTGGGCAGGACGTTCGACTTCCTAGTCGAGGGTCGAGTGTCGAGAGTTGAGAGTTGAGGGAGACAGAGCGATTGAGACAGAGAATGATAGGAGGATTGGATGAAGGGTGGAGGGTGGAGGGTGAATTCGGACGGTGGCAACAATAGGGCGGCATAAGAACTCGTTAGAACGTATCGGCGTTACTACGGACGCAGTTGTTCCGAAGACTCTCGAGTTACATGACAATAGGGAGGACCGGTCCGAAAGGCGAGCATCCGTTCGACAAGTTTTGGCACAAAACCGTAAAGATGGTTCGACGGATGGCTCTCCCACGTTCTCTCTCCCCGGTCGGGCTGCCTGTGGAAATTGGCTGGCTTCGCGTCGTCACGGCGATCGGTGTCTGGCCATTAAATTGACATTCGGTGAATCAGTGTCAGAAGCATATCCGATACCTCCTCGGCCTCGGCGAATGTGTTCACTTAATATGGAGCCGGGAATCGGCGGGACTTAGTTCTCTTCTGCCCTCGGAAGAATCGTGTCGATTTCGATCTCCCCGCGCCCATCCACGCAACGATATGTAGGAAACCTCCTCGAAACCCCTCGGCCGGGCCGAGGCCCGCCCTCCCCTTTTCCCTCCAGTTGCCCGTTTCTATCCGATGGAAATATAACAGTCGCCCTTTTGTCGAGCACAATGTCGAGCCTTACGATCGTCCAATATTTTCCCTCAACAAGCTGCACGCGTTCATCTCGTTATAAAGTCTGTTTGATCGGCAAACAGTGCAGCGCCGATGCAGGCCGCATGCATCGCGTGGCTGGTCCCCGGCCCCGGCGCGGCGCGTCGTGAGCAGAAACCCCTGCCGGACCCTCTTCGAGCACTTGATTGCGAACACAGGCTTGCTGAAACGAATGATCATTCGGTCGCTAAACTCTACTCGACCGTCATCGGCGCCAAGGTTCAATTAATCCGTCACTTCGTCCTGTGGATTCCTGCCAATTCTTATTCATGCTCAGAGCGATTCGTGTATTCGTAACAATTAGGTTGCGAGTCTCTATGGGAATTTTCATTCTCGCTAATTGTTTTATTAATACCAGACGAGGGGAAACGTTCCTTATGGAGACTAGATAATTCGTTAGAGTAAACATAGCCCAACCGTGCTATTAGAATTTGTTAATAGGAACATTTTCTTGCACTTCAAAAGCATATTATACATGTAGCATATAGCTACTAATAATTGTCTAGAACACATTTAGATCTGGTTTTTAGAATCGAGGACAAATTTTCTTCACGAGTTAGAAGATTTCTCGTTGTAAGATGTCTCTGTTTTTCTGAGGAACTCGTGAGAAACATAATCCTATCGCTACCGAAGCACAACTCCCAGAAAGTGCTGACAAAACCAAAAGAATCTCCGTGATAAAACCGAAACTGAAAAACTAGAATTTACATGAACAAAATTCAATCGACTCAGTCGTGTTACCGTAACAATGACAATAACATTGTAACGATGAAGATTAATTCGTGAAACCTGGCGAAACCGCAAATCGATATTTTTGAACAGCAGCGTAAACTAACATTGAGAGAACCGAACACATACAATGAAATTGATTTTGCTAGCCCATTGGAGCTGTTTGTAAGACAATTTTATCCTGGATTAGACGCGATGCATCTCCTCCTTAGACAGCTGGAAATTGCAAAGGTTGCGTGGAAGGGCGAGGGCCGGAAAGAACGATGAACTCTGGAGTTCGAAATGCAGATTAATCGGCGACGGAGCGATTCATTTAGCAGCCGTCCTCCTTCTCTAACCGAGACCAAACAGTGGCCCCGTAATGAGATACCTTCAGCCACAATACACCCTTCATCCAAGCGGAAGAGAAACAAGAGAATAGCATTATCGGGGAAACGTACAGGCAATCTCGACCAATCAATCGCTACCGAACGTTGTATCGCTATCACCGTCAAAAGCGGCAACAAGCGTAACCATGATCGCGTCGATTACGACCCTAGTGAGTATAGGCTAGTGCCCAAAGTCCAATTAGGCGGAGGAGCGTACCGATCCGTAATCCAAGGGCTTTCGGAATCATCGATCCCGATTCTTCGGAACCAAAAGAATCCCTTCCCTTAGAAAAGTCCCTTCTAAAACTAGTGTTCGTGTTCCCATTATTCCACTTTGTCCTAAATATCTAATTCATTGGAGAACCAATTGTCACGATTGTCAATTTGAATACCATAAAATCAGGCCCATGAAATTTCCTCGGATTGATCAACGTTGCAAGCGATGTACGCGTAGGCTGTATTCAGCATCTTCGATTTTCAAACATTGCGTTTCAACACTTTCTTAAATTTTACGTAGGTATTCTAATAGGTATTCTAATAATCGAGAACTTATAATTAAAGTGGAACATAATTGGCCTGGATATCTTGAACCTGCAAAAAATTATTCACGAATCAAAACCTTTTGATGAATGTTCTGTTCTGTGAACAATGAATTAATTCAATATTTTAGTATAACAGGAAAAACATCGTAGTGTACCATTGATTGTAGGGCGTTCCATGGATTGCAAGACTGAACGGCCGTGCGTTAGCAGCAATGTATCGTGTACAGTCCTTGCGAAGTTCCACAAAGCTCAACCGTGTGAACGCTTCATGGTCGAATCCGGAGGATTTAGACGTGTGATCCTTGATGAAGAGGTCATTGAACCTGGAGCTCGAATCACCACGCGAGGATCGGCCGCTCGAGTCGGCAGTGCTCCGTTAGATAGCTTACGAGGCAGTTACCAGGCCGTTACCATGTCGATGGTGCCACTTGTCTCGAGAGGCTGCAACCTGCTTCAAACCTCACTCGCTCGCAAGGAAATGGGATAGCGTCTGTACATCCTGGTTCATCAGTCGCTCGAGTGACTTTGACATGACACTGGCATTCGCTAATAACCAATTTTCCTACCCTTTGCCCCTCCCTGTGCTTTAGAACGGAGCGTAATCATCCTAACAGTCATTTTTGTCCAACTTCGGCATCTACCCTCCAACTACGCCTGGAAAAGTTGCCGACACGCTTAACTCGTACGGCATTATTTGAGGGAACAAGCAACTCTCGTTCCATGGAGCTTATCTTTTTCACAGTCGTAGATCATAAGAAAAATTGTCGAAGTTCTGAATGCTTTCTGCTTGATTCTATCCCAACCAAAATCGATGATACTGCCGAGTCATCTATAGACTGCAGATCTCAGACACCTATGATAAAACTGGACAGATGCGGTACAAAGCAGTAGACTGACGAAAAGAATCTGAGAGCATTGGCCCATTAATTTCACGTTGTTAAAATTATGAAAGGGGAACAGAAATGTCTGCTCAACTTGTACATCTTGCCGTGGGTCCGCGGTCTGGTCACCCAATTCATAAAATCATTTCGAACTGTAGCAAGAGCTAACCGAATGGATTTCAAGTTCTTTTAATTGGTG